TTTACACCGAATTTGGTGAGAAAGGTGGCGGCGCCAAACTGGCGCCAATTGGCGCCAATTTGGCGCCAGCGCCGAAACGAGTGCTATATTCGTGATCAGGACACCGAATTACCTCTGTGGGCAAAGTTTCAGCAAAAAAATTTTGACTTTTTGGGGTAGTAATAGTTGAATAGTGCCGCGATATCTTGCCGTCTCTGGCTTCTGATGCTAATATTATCTAACAGGGAAAAAAAGTAAAAAATCGGTGTAGGAGCTGAACTCGTGACAGAAAACAGCGTTTGAGTTCTGGTGGGCGGGACAACTAGGAGGGCGTCAGAACTGCCACTGATGAGGGCTGCAGCGCCTTCGTTACTCACTGCGATGCTACGAAGTGGGACAGACTGTTTGGATGGCCGCAGACAATTAATATCAAGTACTGGCACTTGCATATTCCCGTATTTTCTTTATTTTGTAACTTATTATGCTTCATTTATAGGTTATTATTTTTGTTTATTTATTTATGGTTTATTATGGCACACTTTCCTCGTGTTCCTCACACATATCCTTGATTACCCTCGCGTCTAATTTGTCGTTTATTTTCGCACATCTTCCATTTTTCGGTGTTTGTTTGTCCGCTGCTAATCTGGTCCGCTGCTACCAGATTAGCAGCGGACAGATCGAGAACCCTTTTTAGGGGGGGGGTCGTATTTAGCTGAAATTTATCACAACGCGATGACGTGCTCTGGGAACAGTCATAGAAACAGAGGACTAGACTCGTGGAACAAGGAAGTACGCCTACAATCGGTTTAACGCGGGAACTGCCTTTAACAGTGCTGGAAGGAGGTCGTACGCAGAACGTCCTTAGGGAAGAGAGTCGCACTGATACGGTCATTCCACCCATCCCGATGAACTACACCGTTGGCGAACCTTGAAGAATGGAAGGCTCAGTTGATGAAAGTCCATCCGAAATTTGGCCCCGCATCTATGCGTCCCTTTTTTAATTGGTTTTTATCAACTAAAAGTTTGTAGTCTGACATGCAAAAGATGTCGAGATGTTCGTCGTCTATGTCGTAAAGCAGTATTCAACGACCGTATCCAGTCCGGTTTTTTAAATGTTCAGCTCCTTCAAGGTCAACACTCAAAGATAAACGGTCCCGAAATGGTTTCGTTCCCATAATTCACAGTGAAGCTGCGTAAATCCCTTTTGTCGGCGTCCATTGGGCAGTCAACGAGCCGCTTCGACGAATAACAGAGAATAGGAAAAAACTCGTCGTTCCTGTAAATGGGCGGTGATGAAAAAGCGCCGTCGTCTGTCGACAAATGATGGAAGATCCAAAGATGCTCGTGGTTTGGTTTATGCTCTCTTTACTTCTCGCTCTCGTAACAGCTGTTCCAGAAGGCGAGTCTTTTACGGTAAGACTAAGCACTTTGTATGCTTTCTCCTTTATGCTAACTTGGCCTTAACTTTCCCGTGAGGCTGTTTGGAGTTTCCCTCTTGAGTGGGGAAAAAGGTGTCCTAACCCTAAACCTAAGGCTTGCATATCTCGTACGAGAAATGTGTTCAATTCAAAGGTTGCATTTTCCTATACCTCGCATTCAGCCACTCAATATAAAAGCCAAGCTGTCACGATCCAACGGCACGTGAAGTCAAGTCCCTTCATTTTTCACATCTATATTCCATTCTGCACTGCCGCGATTCCTCTTTCTTACAGGATCTTTTACTCGCTTGGCTCCTCTCTATTCGAGGCTTTGAAGGTGGCTACGGGGGCTAAGCCCGAGACTACGCGCACTATGTAAAGAACCAGTTGGAACCAACTTCTTCTGTTGCTGCGAGCCGCTCTATGAACTTGGCTACCCCAGGCCTGTCATCGGATCTTATCAGCTGTGGTCACTTTCTGTCACCCACTAATCGTTTTCCCTTCCCACCCTACATCACCTGTTGGGAATGGCTTCTTGTTGCTGCGACCCGCGCTATGAATTTGGCAACCCTCCAGTTCTAAGGCCTCTTGTCGGATCTTATCAGCTGTTATCCCTTCTCGTCATCCATCATTAATGTTCTCATCAAATGCGCTATATCACGTGTTGGAACCAACCTCGAACAGCTCTTGTGGCGCGCGCTATGATTTAGGTGACGTTTTAGTTCCAACCCCCCTAATCAGCCCCAATCAGTTGCTATCAATTCCGGTCACAAAGCAGTAATGTTCCTTTCCAGTACGATATATCAATTCAGCAATCACTTCTCACTGTTGGAGGAACCAGATATATGAATTTCGTCGCCCACCGCTTCTGACGCTCCTTATCATATATTATCAATCGCTATCGTTTTCTGTTACCTACCGATAATGTTCTCGTCATTCCTACATCCATTCTTGAAACCGATGAACCACTGTTGCTGGGAAGCGCGCTATGAGTTTCGTGGCAGACAGATACGCACATACACATACACTCCTTATCCCTGAGAGAGAGTAGGCGTGGCTTTTCAGCAGCCACGCTTGCTACCCGACTTCGGATTTTTTTTCGAGTATACTCACAGACATACACTCTTTATCCCACGCTGAGAGGGGTTGTAATTGCGGATTCAATGTCGCTCGTGACAGCAGTAACAAGGATTTCGCTTCTCCCTTGTATTACTCGACTTGGCAAGGCATAAGTTTCATAAGTACTAGAGCGTCATTAGATTTAGAATGCAAACAACGAATCATTTCGTTGGCAGAAACTCCCCATCCCACAGGCCAAAGCCATGCGGACCACTATGTACGCAATTACGGCCAATCTAAGTCCTGGACACAGAGTGCAACTAGCGGATGATATATACTAGACAATTGTTTGTTTGCAAGCTTTCCTTCCTTCCATCCGTTACGATACACCACTGATGATGAAAACAGTTCACTAATCCATTATGTTTTTTGATCATGAAAGGAACGGGTACATTGACCTAGTTCACCATATGGAGTAGTAGAGGTGGCCTTGATCCATTACCGGGGAAGATAGACGCTTCTGTGTCCAAAAGTGTTCTAGAGACGTCATGAAAGCGCCATTAAGCTTCACCAGGTTGACTTCAGGTTACTTCTGCCTTCTAACAGGCAATGTGCTGCTATTGCTGAGCTATCGAGAAGGTTTCAAAGCAGTTGGCGACGAGGGGAGGGGCATTTTACACTTTTGCTACTTCCCATCGACGTGCCGACCCATCTAGAGAGCCATTTCGTGAGCTTACAAGAGTTGACAGGTTTTACCGTGGTGTTCGACGAGCTTGCTCCAACTTCACAAGGCTTCACAGGTTTCATCGGATTGAGACTTGTAAACCTGAGCTAGTTGGAGCAGAAAGTGCAAAATGCCACCCCGTCGCCGAATGCGCCGAAAATTGAAAGACTTTTGTTCTGAAAGATTAACCGAAGTATAAGCCACTTATAACTCGTCCACACTCATTCTTCTGTATAATGGGAAGTGGGTTAACATTCTCCGTATCTACGCAATTTTCAGTTTCTTCTCTTGGTGACCTGGAACTGGTGTATGGGCAAGCGGCACGTTTCCACGAGCACAGTTCGGTGCTCAAATCTTGAATTGGCTCCCTCCTGGGCCAGCCATACTTGCTATCCACGCTAGAATGGTACAGATTCGTCTGGGAGGATAAAACACTGACTTGTACATCGGCTGGCCTCCGCAAGTTATTGCATAGGCCACATCGCATTCAGTAAGCCACTACGATTGAGAATGGGAGCAGAATGAGTGCTCAATCCCGAAAAGGGATCAATCAACGGCGAAAACTTTTACCTTTATCTTTTCTGGCTGAACAGGTCACATGTAGCAGGGTAATGCAGTGACAAGTGGGTCCACTCTCCGCATATAAGGTCTGCGGATGAAGTCCTGGATCAATTTTCGTTCTGCAGAGAGAGAGTCTCTCATTCCTCTGTCATCGGTTGAAGAAAGGGTCTCCGATGAAGAAAGCAAGCACGCATAGAGATGACTGAAGTATTGCATTCAACACCAATCATGGCTCTGAACCAAAGCAGGATGCATGGCGTAACCCAAAATAACAGGACAGATTCTCGGCGCCTGTCTCCCTTATCTTTCCTTTCACTTCTCTTATTCTTACCTGTTTCAGAGCTTATCGCGTGGAAGCCGTCACTTAGACACTTTTCTCATCGAACCTTTTGTCGATATCTTATTTTCACCGTCCTTCTTCCATATTATGATAGCCGCCATGAACGCCTTTCCATTAAAGGCAGTTGGCACGATAAATCCCTAAGACGAGTAGGATTAATACGCCTGGCAGGACGGAATTCCGCGACCCTGAGCAGGCGCTGCGTAGCGCCTTTCCCAGGAAAGGTACCCTACGGGGCCCCATCGAGCTACAACACCGACCGAACGCCCACCGCTGCCGCTCGCCCACAAATGGACCACCGTGACCTTGATTGCTTTATCCATTCGCCTAGGTAAAATATGAAGCGAAGAGAATGGTATGAAGCGGCTGCGGTGCTGCATGGATATGTAAGCACATACCACAGCTGTAGCTACCATAGCGCTTATTGGCAAGATGCCTGCGGGGAAACTCAGTCCAAAAATTGCCTTTTGAGTCATGTGAAAGGAAGCTTGTCTGAGCGGGTTATACCCGTTTCACTTTCGTTTCCTCGCCATTTTCCCCACTATATATGCCGCCCTGTTAGCATTTTAGGTCGAGTACTAATTATCGTGCCAACTGCCTTTAACCTCAGCTTGTGTCATTCTATCTTTATAATCTGCCGCCCACGACTAGTGTTCACTTTGGCGCTGAGGCTTGTTCACTTTGGAATTCGTGATTATTTTCCTTTCCCCATCTAAGTATTGAGGGACCAGGACCTCTTGCCTTCAGTGTTCTAGTGTCTTGTGCCGCTGTGAAGGAACCAGTATAAAGCCTCTCACCCTCCACAACCCATTTCCAAAACTGAGCAGAGTCCCTCAGTTGTACTCACGATCGCAACGCGCGCTCCTGGTCGAGAAACATCAGATCGAGGGGATCGTGCTGATCTTGTGAGCATAGTCAGGCCTATCATGGTGTTTTTTCTCATTGGCGCGTCTCTTTCCTTACTCGCTTTCTCTATGCCTTAGAAAATGGGGAGGGTAGTGTAGCGCTAGGCCTTAGTCCTTCGACGCATACAAGAAGTCCTCCATGAGCCCCCACCGCGGCAGCTACCGTGGGAATGAAGCTGTGCTCTACCCCGCCTCTCCAAAAGGTATAGAAGGTTTCTAACTAAATAGGGAATTTTAAGAAAGTCTACCGCGATACCAGTTCCTTAGCAACTTGTTGTGAGGGTTATAAAAATTCTATTTCAGTTGACAGACCTCCTTCAACCAAATTCTCATCAACGGCTCTTTGACACGTTGTCCGCTATCGTTGAAAGCGAGTACAGGGATAGGCCAGTAGCCTTCGTAAGCCCTCATATTCGTTCTAATCCTTCTTTCAAATATCCGTGCCAATGTCGTTGTTTAGGATGCCACGAGAGTCATTGAGCATGATGTGCCGTCATTTTCCATCAAGAAACTCAATGAGAAGTACAGGTAAGAAAAATTATTTTCATTGTTTTACCATGGGTAATTCATTTGAGAGGAATTGCCACCAGTTGCACTTTGCTCGACCCGAACATGGGATCAAATCGCCCCACGCCAACCAGGCAATCCATTTTTTTGAGCTGGGGTTTTACCCATTATACTTGCCTGGATGGTAGACGAGGGAGGCACAGTACGTCTGACTCCGTCTATGTGATCAACTTGGAAT